CACTCCCTTCTGACTTGCCAAGTCTGTGGAATGATCTGCAGCTAGCCTTTTACATCTTCCCTTGTGAGTCAAGGACTTGTTCATGTTCCTGTTTTTAGGATTTTTTTCTTTATCACTCTATTTTGCAAATTTCAGTACAGTATGTCTTAGTGTTGGCCTGCCTTTGTTGATTTTGGTGGGAGTTTCATGTGCCTCCTGGATCTGAATGTCTGTTTTTTGTTCCCTAAATTAGGGAAGTTTTTATCTATTACTTCCTTAAATAAACCTTCTGCCCCCTTTTTCTCTCTTTTTTTGTCTTATCATATGAATGTTACTACATTTGATAGAGTCACTGAGTTCCATGTCTGTTTTTGTGATCAATAATTCTTTCTCTGTTTTGTTCAGCTTCATTATTTTCCATTGTTCTGTTTTCTGTATCACTCATTTGTTCCTCTGCTTCTTCTATTCTTGTTGTCATTACATCCAGTCTTTTTAGAATCTCAGTTAAAAAAAAAAAAGAATCTCAATTATTGCGTTTTTCATCTATTTGTTAACTCCTTTATCTCTGTGGTAAGGGCCTCCCTGAGTCTTCTATTCTCTTCTCAAGCCTGGCGAGTATCATTATGATCGTTGCTTTAAAATATCCAGGTATTTTACTTTTATCTGTTTCAGTTTTATCCCTGGCTGTGATCTTTTCTTATTTCTTTTGAGATGAATTCTTCTGTCTTGGCATTTTATCTAAGTCTCTGTCTTCTTCTCTGTGTTAGAAAAGCCTGTTGTGTTTTCTTCTCCTGAGAGTAATGGCTTTATGAATAGGTCAGATAGTGTCCAGGGCCTGGCGAGTGTCTCTGATGTGTGCAGTGTGCCCTCTGCTGCTGTGTTTTCACTGCTCTGTCCTTCAAGCAAGCCTCTGCAAAGGCTCTCCTTGCCTGCAGTAGAAATTGTTTGGATCCTGGCCCGTGTGTAGGGAGTTTTAACTAGGCATACTCTGGCCTACTTGTTAAATGAGATCTGGTGCTACTTCCACTAGAACTGAAGCCTTGATGAACTCTCTGGTCAGTATATGTGGTATGTCTGGGTATTTCTATTGGTCTTCTGAAGAAGGGGCCTGTTGCACTTGGACTTGTGCACATTTGCAGGAGAAAATTAGTACCAGCAGACTGCAGGTTGGGTAGGACTTGGTGGAGGAGGAAAATGGTGCCAGCCAGGTCCTTTGTCTCTGGAAAGTGGTCTCTGTGCTGCTGCTCTCAGGTAATCATTCCCAGAAGAGGGAATAATTTCCTCTTTTGTGTTCCAAGTGTTACTCAGATCAGTGTTTTCATGCTGTCTCTGTGTTGCTTGCCTTCCTGGAGCAGTGCAATGCACTTTGGGCTCTATCCCAGCTAACTAAGCCTGCTAACTTTTATAACTCCAAACTGTAGGGAAGTGCTGTTGTGGGGGCCTGCACTGATCTTTTGGGGGAGGGTCTCACAGTAGTGGGACAGATGCAGGTTTGAACAAGGGCAATCATTCTAGAGTGCAGGTACTTGGGATTTGGAGCAAGCAGGCTAAATAGACAGTGTCTGAGTAGTTGCTTTCAGCAGGTGTCTCTCTGCCTGTGATGAGGGGGAAGGGGGTGGAAATGGTGCCTATTAGCTTTTTTGTCCCAAGAGAGTTGTCTCTGTGAATGCCACCTCTCCCATATGAGCTCCAAAAAGAGTAAATAGTTTATCTTCTGTGTGCCTTAGGTGATCCTCAGATTGCACTCTGTTCTGGGGTTAGTTGCCTGCCTTCTTTCCAGGAATAGGGCAGTGCTCTCAGGGCTCTATCCCAGCCAAGCCTGTGGACCTCTCAAAGTCCAGTCTTTGAGCCCACTGTTTGCAAAAATTCATGAAAATCAGCCCCTCCTATTTTCCAGCCAATGACTTTGGGAAACTGTTGTTGTGCATTTCCCTATGAGCTCTTTTCTCTCCCTCTCTCTCTCTCTCTTTCTCCCCCCACCCACCACCCCCATCTCTTTCTCTTTTACTAGTTGTGTTTGAGGGCACTTTTGTCACTTTTAAATGTGCTCATTATTGTCATGCAAACTCCCAGTAGAAATCCTGGTTCTTTTGTATTTCGGAACAAAAACTAAAACTTGTTAAAGGGTAATAGCTTATTATATGAGAGACCAGTGTTCTAATCCCAGTTTTAGAGAACTGAAAACATGGTGGTATTTCTAGTTTCATGTTGAGTGATGTCAGACTTGTGAAATTCAGATACCTTTGTTTCAGTTGTACTGATTATGACTAGCACTCCATTCACCAAATTTTCAAGTATTACTGTTATGTTCTATGAATTAAAGCTTATTTTGCATTAAGGTTTCTTTAATGCCAATCAGATCTGAGTATTATTGCCAGCAGAGAAATTGTGATAGAGAATACATTTCATAATCTTTCAGATAATTAAGACTTTAAGCAGTTGCTAAATGAAGTAAAAAGTAAAAGCATAGTTTATGAAGAGAGCCACGGTTTACAACAATTTGAGTTTTAATATCACATGATTCCAATGGGTAATATTTTCACTTCTGTTGTATCTTCTGCGATCTTAGTAATAGTTGTTGATTGGTATTAATAAGTGTTATGCTTTTAGGAAAGGACTTGGCCCATCTGATCTAATTTTAAGTCACTTTTAGCAGTTATTGAGCTAGTTAATTTTGTGGAGAAGAATTAAAGTCACATAATGCATTTAAAATAATTATTGATAGGTATCACTATTGCCATTTTGTTAATTGTTTTCTGGTTGTTTTGTAGTTCTTTTCCCTCTCTTGCTTTCTTCCTTTGTGATTGATGAGTTTCTATAGTGTTATGTTTGACTTTCTTTCTCCTAATATTTGGTGTATCTTTGATACTTTTGAGTTTGTGGTTACCATGAGGTTTATATATAACTTCCTAAATAAGTAGTGGTCTGTATTAATTTGATCATAACAAGAAAAGCAGGAAGTATAAGGAGAAAAGAATTGTTTATGCTTTAAATTTGTAGATCAATTAATAATGTAGCATCTAATTGAATTAGTGTACAGACATTAGAATTCAGGTTATGAATATCTTCAGCATTTCTTTCCAAAATTTGTTTTTGTTTTTTAAGATGTTATTTATTTGAGAGAGAGCATGAGCAGGGGGAGGGACAAAGGGAAAGGGAGAATCAGAGTCCCCGCTGAGCAGGGAGCCCCATGCTGGACTAGATCCCAGGACCCTGGGATCATGACCTGAGCTGAAGGCAGATGCTTAACCAACTGAGCCACCCAGGGCACCCCTCTTTCTAAGAATTGTTATAAAACTCATTAAGTGTAAGATGATATCTGACTTGACTACTAGAAATTTTTGGTGGTACTCCCTGAACTGAACTATGATATATTGTTATAAAACAAAAGGATATATTTATTCCAGTATATATTTCTTTTATATATCCTGTTAAATGGAACCAGTAGTCTACCATTAAGATATTCAAAATATACTTTTATTTATGTTCATGTTCATCTGCTTTTTCCCTAGTACACATCAATTGAATAGGAAGAACTGGAAAATAGAGAACTTTGGCATGGATATTGGTATATCATGAGACAGGACAGTTTCTCTCAAGTTTTATCAGGGATTTCTACCTTTGTAGTTATATACCCCCATTTAATTCGGCAATTACCTTGGGAGTTTAAACTCCCCAACAAAGATACGGCATTTGAAAAATTTTAGTTAATTAGGAATAATTTTGTTGTGAAGGTTATTATACCTTTTGAAATGATTAGTATCATACGTCTTACTATATCCTAGGATCAGTGGGAATCACTGTTACAGTCATATAAAAACTATACTCACATAAAGTAGAAACCGTCTTAGAATATCATCTTTTTGGTGGACCCGAAAAAAATATATACTACAAAATTTCATTTTAGCTCAGATGGTTATTGAGTCCTCAATTTATGCTTAGAATAGAATGACTTATAATAATGAGAATCCCTTTCTGATGATGACTTCCATGATAAGCTTTGAACTGTCTTCCTGGGTTTAAAAAAAAAAAAAAAGAAAATCTACTAGTATAAACTTCCAGAAAAGGAGTGGGTATACTTTTCTACTGGTGTTTGAGGGGAAAGAATTTCTCAGTACTTATACCATACCTAATATATTCTTTATGTTATTATTTTATCCTGCCCCAGGCCCTTTCCTGGACCATAAGAATTTCTCCCATTTAGGGATCCCTTTAGTCCTTTCTTTCAGTACACAGAACTTTTTGCCTTTCCTTTATATTTGTGTGTTAGCCTTTAGCAATTCTAAGTGTATTAGGCTATAGTACTTCTCTGAAGGGCCTTTTTTCCTGCATGATATTTATTCTCTCATGCAAACATTCTCCAAGGCCAGGCCCCATGAATATGTAAATGCAAAAAGGAAATGATTTGGGATTTCTGAAAATACTATATACTGCTTTAACTTGTGTCATTCATGGACTTTCGAATATATGTATCACTCAAACTAAGCCAACAGTGTTCCCCGAAAAGGTTTCTTAGAAAACCCTACAATGAATAGATATATTAACTTATCAGTAAAGTTTATATTAAATGGATTCTTCCATCTGAAGAATATGAAGTACGTTCTCTAAGTAAATAAATAATCCATTTTCAATCTTTTTTACACAGTTATTTTGCTTAGCAGTCCTTTATCCATCCTCTTTGGGAATGTTATAAGGATAAGTTAAGCTCTTTCTATGAATAAATGGTTTCCCAAGCTTTTCTACTCCGCTAGTTTTACAAAATGAACCACTAACTGCATCTTCTTCTTGGGTCTTAGTGTGCTCTTAATTATTAGGTAACACGTATTTTAGCTATTAACACATATAGCATATTGTTATGATTTTTACATATTCCCCATCTCTAGATTATAAATTCCTTAGAGGCAGGAGCCATGACTTGCTCAGCTCTCTATTTCCCCTGGCCCCAGTTTAGAGCCCTGAAAATAGTATTACGCAGTGAAATGTGTTTAAGCAGGAACTCAAGATATTTTTGTTTTAAACAGATTTGGTTCATTTGACTTGTACGTCTTCTAAAACAGCAAGAGAAGATTTAGAACCAGTTGTGCGGAAATTGTTTACTCCATATACCGAAACGGAGATAGGTAAGAATAACAATCAGTGATTCATGATGAAAAGGTAATATAACAACTTTACTCCTTAGGTATTTCATGAAGGTTTCTGCAACCTGTTCAGAAATAGTCCTTACACATTTTAGTAACGTAAACTAGCACATTCTCTTCCTAAAAATGGGAAAATATTCACTCTGTAATGGTAAAGGAAAAATAATATGTTTCACACACAACATGTATACTTAAAGTGCAAAAGATACACATTTATATACATATATACATGTGTAAGAAAAAAGACTGCCTGTAAATCGCTCAGTTTTGGTGAAATTATGGACTTTTTTTTATAATTTTCTTCATTTTACAGATCTTATACAAAAAGTATACCTTTAATAGAAAAAGTTACCTTCATTTAAAAAAATTGAGATAATATTTTAATATTATTTTAAATAATTATGATATAATATTAATTGACAAATGTAGGAATCCTTTCTAATAATTGTCCTTTAATGTATAGCTTGCTAGTGATGTGATAAATATTTAGCTCTCAAAATATATATGCCACTATGCTACTTATTCATGGTGGAAAAGTGTTTTTCAACCATAAATTTCTAAACATTTCTCCTCATATCATAGGGGAGCTCTTGTAGGTATAAATGGAGCAAATTGTAGTGTATTTTGTATGTAATGATAAAAAAGTAGCCCAATGGATATTATTAGTTTATATGAAGTGAGGTTTATATGAAGTGAGGTTGATTTTCATTTTAGGATGTGCATGTCCACTTGAATCTTGACCAGTTTCTTCACTGAGTCATACATCTTTTTTCCTTTGGATGTTATGTTTGTTCAGGCAACCATTTATTTACTCCTACCTGTTGTATTTTCTTTTAGTTCATCTCCTATGTGTCTTGTTTTTCTAATGTAGAGATAGTATATAGTGGGGCATTTATATTTACAGAAGAAAACTGATTTTTAAGAACTAATGTCAGTATAATTAATTTCTTTTTCTTTTTCTGCCACGTAAATAAAATCCTGAAATCTGAGACTTTATTTCACTTTAGTTTGGAATTTAGTTTGTTTCCTATTTACATTTTAGTCATTAGAAAGATTCCTATAAATGTTTGGATTATTGTGAAAAATTTGATTTGCAAAGTTATGATACATGATAATATTTTCAAACTTAATACAGAATCATGGTTTTATCTTTGGCTTTGATTACCTTGCTTTTAAAAACAATTTTTTTCCTTGTTTCTGAAATTTCATTTTGTGATGTCCCAATAATACACTAGATTGGAACCTTGTATCATTGCTCTTCACTTCTTAAATGCATTTAATTTTCTTTAAAAAAAACAAGCTGAGGAAATTGCATATTCATTACTTAGAGTCCTCTAGTCATTTTAGATTTTTAAACATTAATCTTAATGGTTAAAGTGATCCCATTTTGAAATGATGTATTGTTTAGAACCTGCGTGAAATTCTTTAGTAAGAACTATGTGCTCTGAGAGGTCCTCAGGTGCACTGAGGCACTGAAAAGCTAGTTTTCACTGACACATAGGCCTTTTTATCATCAGGATGAGGTAGTGGTCATATTTTAATTAAAATGTCAGAACAAATACTGTTGTAGTAATTGAAAATGAATCACCAGATAAAGTGAGCGCTGGGCCATGGCAGGTCAAAGAGGCAAAGTCACCTGGAGAAGAGAGCTCAATTCATTTTCCTGCCTAAATGAAAAAGAACTTTATGAGCAACATCAACTTTTAGTGCATTAAAGCACATTCTTCTCTGTAGCAAAAGCACCTATTTTCATAGATTAATGGCTTTTATTATTATTTTTAATCACTTGATAGTGTTATGAAATTTTATGCTTTAGAGCATTGTAAATAGTTTGTTTTAAAATAGTGCCAAAGGAATAACATTTCTTGAGCGTATTTTTTTTCTTTTAGAGTTCTACATTTTGTTTAGTGCTGTGCTTCATAAACCTTTGTGAAAGTTTGCCTAGTTACCTTGCAAGGAAGTTTATTTATCGTAAAAGATAATGTTCTCTTCTCAAATACAGTACTTCTTTGCTGATGTATCTAAGAAATTTCAGTCGGTTTGTGAATGGTATTCCTCTATTCCTTCTACTTACTTTTTCACATTTAAGGTATGAGCTGGAGCTCTTGACATATGCTGTCTTAAAAAGCAGTTGTACCAATACTTCCAAGAGCCCTACCTCCTAGCCTCCTTTAAGAACATCCGAGACCTCTGAACCCTTCCCTATTTTCTAGTCCAGAGAAGATTCAGGTGTTTTATGTTTAATGAACCTGATTGTACAGGTGAGAAAATTAGGTAATTGCTCACCATTCATACCAGTCTGGATTAATTCTTTCAGACTTCAGAATATCTTTCAGAGGACTGAGTGAGCAATGGTATTATCCTAAATGGCTTCTTATTTTACCCAGGAAATTGAGATTTTCTATATGAATTTAAACAAGAATTTCATTAGTACTATATCTTGAAATGTCTACAATGTAGTATCATTACTGTACCAAGTTCTTTCTCTTTTTCCCTTGGTTGTGCGTGGCATGTGCAATTACCTCATCCCATCTCGCCCATTTCCCATCTCAAAAAACCAAAACTACCTAAAAACAAAAATTACCCTTAGAGGTGTTATTTTGAGGTCTGTGGCTGATGAGGATGTTAGGTAATTGTTGGGCTCAGAAGTCAAATGCCTTATCTTAATTCCTTTTTGCATGTGTTATATCCAGACTAGGTCACAGCTGTGACAGTATCCTACACTCTTGGCCTCATGCTACTCTGCTATGTTGCTAATAGTCTCTTCCTAAATACGACTTGTAACTGTAGGCCATTTATTGCTTGTATTTGGTATGCCATTGATTTTTTTCTGCCTACCATATTCTGTACTTAACCCAGTTTAATTTGCCTAAGATCTTTTTCTAAATTACGTATTACTTGTTCAGTCCTTTATACTATCTAATGATGAAATGAGCTATTACAGAAAACCAGTTCTATTCCTGATTTGGTGATATATTCCTATCCAAACCTCAGCAGCTTTAATATTTTTTTGACACCTGTATAGTTTGCAACTGCATGTTATTTTTTCAACTATCTCTGCCTTCCAGCTGACCTCAAGAAAGATGAAGCAATTACATGTCTTTTTGAGGGTTTTAAGGTCAAAGCCTGATAACTCCCTTCTATCTAGAGCATTTATCTTCAGCCTGTGTCAACTTTTCATCTTCCTCATGGTTCCTTCTCAATGCTTCAAGCTCTATGAAATTTCTTTCCTATAATCTATTGGATTATTCATTTTTCCCAACTTCTTTTGAGTTAAAGTCCTCCTTTGAGCTGTAATGTTCATGAAATACAAGATAAACTCTTTTAATGTATGCTTAGAAATGGACTGAGCAATATTAAAGGAATTCCAGACCTTAGCCCACTTTTCTGCAATGCTCCTGGAGTCTGGTGTTGCAAATCACAGGTGGTATGTTTAATTATCCTCCCATAAGATTTAGTGAAACTAAACTTAAAATTAGTAAGTTTACTAAGAGCCATATGGCTTTAGCTGTGAAATATGAATTCTTGTGTTCCTTTATTTTGTCAGTAAATAGGTTTCACAGTCTGTCATGTGTTCACATGAAGTTAGTGGCACCTTCGACTCATAGATCTTAGCATTAGGAAGGGACATCATAAGGGATCACTTCTTCCATTCAGAGTTTCTTTATCATATCACAATAATAATTATGGATTATTCATAATGAACTAGAGAAATAACATATTTAGTATTCTTGTAGTGGAGATATTTTAAATTAAATATAACAAAACCCTATTTATCCTGAATTGGGCATTCTTACTAATTGAATACTGCAATTAGCAATGAATTTCACTACATTGATTACCAATTTAACAATAAGAAATATTTAACTGTTATGCCTCCATCAGAAAGGATGAATACCCAACTTTTGTAGCAACATGGATGGGACTGGAAGAGATTATGCTGAGTGAAATAAGTCAAGCAGAGAGAGTCAATTATCATATGGTTTCACTTATTTGTGGAGCATAACAAATAGCATGGAGGACAAGAGGAGTTAGAGAGGAGAAGGGAGTTGAGGGAAATTGGAAGGGGAGGTGAACCATGAGAGACTATGGACTCTGAAAAACAATCTGAGGGTTTTGAAGGGGCTGGGGGTGGGAGGTTGGGGGAACCAGGTGGTAGGTATTGGAGAGGGCACGGATTGCATGGAGCACTGGGTGTGGTGCAAAAACAATGAATACTGTTTCGCTGAAAATAAATTAAAAAAAATTTAAAAAGAAATATTTAACTAGATAATTACACGTTTTGCATTTTCTTTATGATTCACAAGGTGCCCCGTGGTCTTGAGTAATCTTAATATATATCCGTTCTTATCATTATACAGAATTTGAATTTTGGTTCAGATTCAGGCTAAAGAAAATCCTATAGTCAGTAAATATATTAACAACAATATTTTCTGTTTTCAAGCAGAGGAAATTTAATTATAACATTTCTAAGGAAGACTGGCAAGGAATATTAAGATAGCAAAGAATAGGTTTTAGGTATTAATAAGGTTGAACCTTTTAATAAGCACATCGTACTTTGATTATATCCTGATTTCATCCTGAAAACAGGATGAAAATCAATATAGAAATTGTTCTTTGAATGTCTGTTGTATGCTAGCCCCTGTGTATTAGGAAACATGAAAAATCAGTAGACTAAGGACTAAGTCTGCTTTATATGTGCATCTCTATCTCCTAGCCCAAGCCTAACACACATAATAGATGTTCACTGTTAAATGAGAGAATATGTGCTAAAAACAACTTTACGTCTCACAACATTGTTTTTGTTGTTGGTTGCCATTACTTTTGTAATCCAGTAGGACAAAGCGTTAGTGAGTTATGGTATCAATATCTTAATCTTGTATATACTATTTTAATAACCGCTTTATTGAGATATAATCCAGTTCACCCAAACTATAAAATTCAATGTTTTTTTAATATATTCACCAAATGGTTCAAACATCACCACAGTCAATTTTAGAATATCCTCATCATCTAAAATAGAAACCCTACACCTGTTAGCAGTAATCCTTCACCCCAATTCCCCCAGCCCTAAGTAACCATTAATCTACTTCCTGTCTCTCTAGATTTATCTCTTCTGGACCTCTCAATGCTGTATAGGTCATTGACTTAATAAATAATTTTTCGAGTTTGTTTGTTTATGTGAAACATAAAAAAAATTGTTATCTTCTCCAGTGGCATAATTTAAGGATGAATGTGTTCAGAAGCACTTTGATATTGCTCTAGAGAAATAATAGAAATCCAAGAGAACACAATTGGAGTTATACCTAAGTAACTTACTAGTAATCAAAATAATTTTTTTTAAATCTAACTTGTCTAAGGTTGCAAAAGTCATCATTGCTTGAAATATATACGTGTATTAGAGTGTGTGGATAAAGATTGACTATTTTTTTTACATACAAAGCTCTGATTTACTACACTATATAATCATGGCTTTGCTTGTAATTGGCTACATATTATATTAATTGACAGGCTTATTGTGCTGTAGATGTGAGTAAAGTTTATGTCTACATTTAGAAAATGAAGAAGTTGAAAAACCAAGACTTCTGTGGGCTCTTTACTTCAATATGAGAGATTCTTCAGATGTCAGCAGGAACTCTTATAATGATTTGCCATCCAACGTTTATGTCTGCTCTGGCCCAGACTGTGGTCTAGGAAATGATAATGCAGTCAAACAGGTAAGCTGTTGTTGTTTCTCAGTTTTGTGTTAAAAAGTTGGTGTGATAGGAAAAGTAGATTGTTTTTTCCCTCTGGGATGTGGGAAAAAAGACTAGAAAAGCATCTTTGTCATTTAATACCCCCAGATTTTTTCCTATGAATGACAAAGCTTCTTTAAATGTACTTTAAATACAGTATCCAATATTTTCACATTCTTGACTATAAGGATGAATTTGCAACTGAGCGTTTATGAGTTTCATTATGGGAATAAGGATGCAAGATGTTAGAAATACATATTCTGAAAAATAAAAGTTATGCCAGTTTTCTAAAGAAATATTGCTTTTAATTTAAACTGTTGGCCTATTGTTTTATTATTTTGAAATATACTAACCGCATTTATTTGTTAACCTCTGAGTCATTTCAAAAGGAGTCTAAGTAAGTAAGTAATCACATACAAAATGTAATTTTTAAGTGGTCTTAAAGCATTTTCTTATTTTGGAAAAGAACTTGTAACAAAGTTTTTCAGAGTTAACATGATTCCTTTAATGTTTTGACACAAGTTGGTGTCCCAAAAGTGTCATACCTGCTGAGGAGTATGTTAAATCAAGGTGGAATTTTGTGACAGCACTTCTGGGCAGGGCTATAAACTGGTACAGCGCAAGCTGACACAAGCTGTACACTTCTCTGTACCTGACAGGAAGAAAAAAACAGAAAATACATATATTTTTTTGAGGCACAAGTCTAAACTTTTCACAGATACAGTTGGCATATCTGTCTGTTGAATCAATGAGTGAATAATTTAATGTTAAGACCACAGATGGATAAAAAAAAAAAAAGACCACAGTTGGAAGATTCAATCCAACTAGTGGCAGGGATCTCATAGGAACAAACGGCTTCATTAACCCTTTAATTTTAATCATAGTAGCAAGGCCATGACCCCATGTATCTATAGTTTCTTGCCTCATTCTTTGTTTCTCATCTTCATAGCCTAATGGTGATTCTTGATAGTCCTATTCAACCAGTGATATCAAAAGTGGGAAGTCATCCATCATTCAATCAGTTGAATAGGAACCCAAGATTGTTCAAGTTCTACATTTTTTAAAAGATTTTATTTATTCATTTGACAGAGATCACAAGTAGGCAGAGAAGCAGGCAGAGAGAGGAGGAAGCAGGCTCCCTTCTGAGCAGAGAGCCTGATGTGAGGCTCCATCCCAGGACCCTGAGATCATGACCTGAGCCGAAGGCAGAGGCTTAACCCACTGAGCCACCCAGGCACCCTCACAAGTTCTACATTTATGACTTAAAATGACCAAGGAATTTTTGCTTTGCTGTTCCATTTTTCTCCAAGCAGAATTGCCAACATGTTTTCAGCCAGATAGCTTAGGTCATTTTTTAAAAAAGATTTATTTATTAATCTCAGAGAGAGAATGTGTGCACAGAGGGGCTGGGGGAGAGGAAAAGAAGCAGACTCCCTACTGAGCATAGAGCCTGATACGGAGCTTCATCTCCTGACTCTGAGATCATGACCTGAACTGAAATCAAGAGTAGGATGCTTAACTGACTGGGCTACCCAGGCCCCTAGCTTAGGTCATTTTTGTTCCTGAGTGGACTGTAATGTTTTTTGACCAAAATGGGAAGACTTTTTACATAAGGGCTTATTATACAAGTGCTAATATGATCTTAACTATCAGCTAGAAGATTATAATTAAAGGATAATTTTGTTATGAGGTAATTTGCCTCCCAAGAAGATAAACTTTGGTGTTATCGTAGTATAAAACAATAATAATGCTACTTTTGGTACTAATTATATACTATTAAATATGAGTAGTTTTAAATCATTATATAGCTTTAAACCTCACATCATTTTGGGGAGAAATAATACCTACTGTAAAGGGCATCAGTAATAATATTTACAAATAGCCAGTGTATTTAAATAAGCTTTTTTCTAATTCCAGTAGTCCATCCTATGTTCAGCCTAATTGATAACTTCTATTTTCCAAATTGTCTACAAAAGCTCTTAGAGCATCACATAGGCTTTGTCTGTGTAGCAAACATAAGCACCTGGAGACTTTTTTTTTTTTTTTTACAAATGCTTTATTTTATCAGTTAGCAAGTTTGCATCTGCTTTTCCTATTGTAAATGTATAGATATTTTTAAAAAAAATATTTATTTATTTGACAAAGAAAGAGATCACAAGTAGGCAGAAAGGCATGCAGAGAGAGACAGGGTGGGGGGAAGCAGGCTCCCCGCTGAGCAGTGAGCCCGATACGGGGCTTGATCCCAGCACCCTGAGATCATGACCTGAGCCGAAGGCAGAGGCTTAACCCACTGAACCACCCAGGTTCCCTAATGTATAGATGTTGAATAACATAGACCTATCTTCCTTGTGTTCATATGGAACTATTTATGATTTGAAAACATACTATAAATATAAAGTGCCCTGTGTTTACTACAGGTTAAAGTTGTATGCAGGAGGAGTACACCAATACATTCTCTATTATCACCACAATGATGCTAGCATAAGTAACCTAAGTGATAACTGTGATTCTGTGTCTTGTTTGTTACTTCAGGTATTTTTTTTTCTTTCTGAAACTGACATAGGATATATCTTAATACAGATAGTGTCTCATTTACCCACACATACTGATGAACAGACTGGTCTATAGTTCTGCACTCCCAAGATCATTGATAGCTCACTCCTCCTTCAGGAGCCAAGTGTCTCCTAGGAGGTGCCACTACAATGAGAACAATAAGTATACAGTAATGTACCCTTTGTATTATATTCCAGGTTAAAATGGTTTAAATTGGCTGATGTGAGGAGCTTAACCACCATTTAGAATATTGTCTTTATGGCATATTAGCAATTTGTTTTTAACTTTTGGTACAGAATTTATAAGTTGAAGACTAGTTTTATAGATCATATGGTCTATCACGTTACACACATATTGCAATATCATTCATTTTCTCCATCTCCATGCCATTGAGGGAGAGGGAAATTTTAGGTATCACATTTTCTACAGCTACCATTCACTGAGCATTTTCTGTGTACCAGACAATATCATAAGTATCATATGTATATTATTTCATTTCGTCCTCATAACCCTATGAAGTAAGTATCCGTGACATACCCATTTTACAGATGCAGAAACTAAGACCCCAGAAGGCTAAATAACTTGTCCAAAGATCACAGACCTGGTAAATTTGTGAGCCAGAACTTAAACTCGGGTCTTTTGGACCCCAGTGCTTTTATATTCACCTAGTGTGCTGTGCTACTTTCATCTTGTTAATGTGAGTACTTCCTAAATACATTAAACTTCTAGATTGACAAAATATTGTTTTGTTTTGTCTAGATGTATGTTAAATAAACATAGGAATGTCTTCAGTAACTCAGTGTGTCCTCTCTATACTTACCAATATGAAGAAAACCAGTCACAATATAATTATTCCTTTTTAATTTTTTTAACCACATGAAACTCTCTACTCTTTAAGCTACCTTATGGCTTAAAAAGGTGAGAAGGATTGGGGTGCCTGGCTGGTTCAGTCAGTTGTGCATCTGACTCTTGATTTCAGCTCAGGCATGATCTCAGCCATGCTCCATGCTCGTCATGAAGCCTGCTTGAGATATTCTACCTCTCACTCTACCCCTCCTTGCTCATGTTCTTTCTCTCTAAAAAAAAGAAGTGGGGGACAAAAAAGGATTAATAGTTAACAATTAACTACTCTAAACTAACCTGTATTTGCGACAACTCTTGCAATTGAGGCTTAGTTGACAAATGAAATGCAGCAGACCAAGAAGTATTAGATAGACGTTCCAGAGCATGGCTATTGACCCTAAAAGGTTCCAGCAGTTAGGGAGAGGAGATGGGAAGGGCTGGAGACTGGCTCTAGGAAATTGGCATCAGTGAGGGCCGGTGGCAGATAGGCTGATGATGAGAATGCCTACAAGCAGGTAGAAAACATATAAGGGTGGTGTAGCAGCCTGCAATTGGTTAGCAGTCCTCAGAGGCAGATTATGACAAGGACATATGGAAACAAGAGTGTGGAATCCAGCCACAGGGACTGAGGTACAGGAGAAAATGTATCCTACAGGTAGGTAACAAAAAGGAGATAAGGTGTGAGACACAGAGGAACTAAGAATAAAAGTAAAATAATATTAATAATAATTATTATATTTATATTCAACATTTCTATAATATACAGTTTTAGAAGTTCTTTAGTTCATTTTTAAATTTTTTTTTAATTTTAATTTTTTTTAAGATTTTACTTATTCATTTGACAGAGATCACAAGCAAGCAGAGAGGCAGGCAGAGAGAGAGAAGAAGGGAAGCAGGCTCCCTGCTGAGCAGAGAACCCCAATGCGATGCGGGACTCAATCCCAGGACCCTGGGATCATGACCTGAGCTGAAGGCAGAGGCTTTAACCCACTGAGCCACCCAGGCACCCCTAGGTCATTTTTTAAAAAATGTATATTGGGATACTACTCCACACCAGGAACTAAGGATCCAGAGTTGATTAAAACCCAGTTCTTGTCATCCCTGGAGGAATGTAAAGGAGAAGAACATGTAAACAAACAACAGTATAGTACAGTATATGCAATAATAGAATAATATCCAAAGTTCAAAAATAATACAGAGGAGTCATGAGCTCTCTTTAGGAGTCAAAGAACTTTGCAGAGAGGGATATAAAAGATGAGTAGCAGCAGTTCCTCATACAAATGGAAGATAACTTAAACATTCCAGCATCTGTACCAATCCATAATAGAAACATCCTAGTATGTTTAAGAAAGTGTACAAAAGTAATTATTAGTGAAGCAAAAGTCTGAAAAGGTGAACATGGGATGGAGTAAATGATAAGGCCAGAGGAATAGGCCTGTAGGGTTTTGTATGCCATAGCAAAGATACTGGATTTTTAGCCTTTTAAGAAATGGGGAGTCACTGAAGAGTTTTAAACCAGAAAATGGCATAGCCAGTATTTCATTTCCATAGACCCCCCCCTCTGAAAGCATCATGGAAATGGATTGCATGGGGGAACCCTAGATGCAAGGTGACCAGTTCTGAGATGTTGCAGTTGTCTAAGGGAAGAACGATGTATGCCTGGGCTATATCTATAGGGATGGAAAAAAATGGAGTCAAGAACCAATAGATAAGATTGTCAGAATTTGGCCGTTGATTGCATGCAGAGAGTGAAAGGAATTAAGGGGGGGAGAACTTCTATAGGCAGACAAGGTTGAGATAAATGACAAAAAGAGGAATTAAAGAATGAGATAGAGGTTCTGACCTCATTCCTCCTGCTTCTAGGAGCTGTCTCCAGCAAAGACCTGTGGTGAGTTCCTGGGGTGGAGAGTAAAGCAGGCATCTCAAATATTTAGTTTAAAAATAATCACAGTAAAATGGCATGTCCAAAAAATATACCCTTGAATTATACTGAAGAAGGAAAGTATTTTTCTCTCTATCCCTTCTTTCAATTTCATATCAAAGCTCAAAAGTTTCTGTTTAGTATTCCTCCACCCATTCCCAAGAAATGTCACTTTTAATCACCTGATGGACCAAACCACCTGAGTCTACCAGCTGCAGATGGCCAGATGGTCAACAGTTTAGATTTTACAGCCCCTTTTGTCTCTTCTGCAGCTACTCAACTCTGCCATTGCAGTGCAAAAGTAGCCACAGAAAACAGATAAATGAATAAGAGTAGCTGTGTTCCAATAAAATGTTTTTTACAAGAATAGCAGGCTGGATTTGGCCTGTGGACCATAGTTGTAAACTCCTGGCCTGAGGGATGACTTCATGTGCACGTCAGGAAGAAGGATTAAAGTGGTACAGAAAACCATTGTTGCCTTTAAAATAAGCATATACTTTAAATCTTTAAATGACTTCTGTTTACCATAGGAGAGAGTGCAAGCTCCCTAGTGTAGCAGGGACCCGTTATCTAACAATGAGCTGTATTCATCTAAATAAAAGTAAGGATATGTTTAGAATAGAATAGCAATGTTTCTTGTCACATTTGCTCTCGTGCGCGCGCGCGCGTGTGTGTTGTTCATTAAAATCACATTCAGTTTCTTACTCTCTTACCCTGCGAGAGTAAACTCATCTTAGATCTTGACATTTGGGGGCTCCTGGATGGGTCAGTTGGTTAAGCCTTTGACTCTTGGTTTCAGCTCAGGTCCATGAGATCCAGCCCCTACATAGGCCCGCATCAGCCATTGTTGGTGGAATCTGCTGGAGATTCTCTTCCAGCCCCCGCCTGCTCCCCCACCCCTCACACTCACATGTGTATGCTCTCTGTCTCTCAAAGAAATAAAATCTTTAAAAATAAGATAAAATCTTGACCTTTTAACTTACATTATTATTACAGTGATAACAGCTACCATATATAGAGACTTGGTCTCTGCCATTTCACAGGCAAGGAATGCAAGGCTCAGAAGTTGATTAAGCATTCCCCCAAACTATATTGCTACTAAGTGGCAGAGCCAGCATTTGCATATGGCCATCTATTCAGAGTACATGATCTTGAACACCATGTTATACTCCATGAAGCCCGGAGGGAGTTAAATTATACCAGAAAAGCAAATAGTTGAATAGTGAAGAATTTTCTTGATTTTAATAATGACTTGTGATCTCTGTCAAATAAATAAAATCTAAAAAAAATGTTTAAAATAATGACTTGTTAAAAATATTACATGCTAAGTTTGATTTTACAGCTATCATAGATAGTCTCTATTGGGAATTTACATAAAGAATATTAAGGGAAATTACATTTCTGCAGACATTGTAGAATGAATGTCCTTAAATTCTCAGCTATCTAACACTTGATAATATGAGCAAGTACTGATATATTTGGGGGTGGGCCTGAATGCATGTATAGAATTGGAGAGAAGTCATGGAATTCTGAAAGCAGATTTTTAGAAGGTCATGTATACTTGATAAAGTTCTATAACTTAAAATAAATTTTCAAGGGTGATACTTCATTTTTTAAAATAATTTCAGAAAGGCATATACATTTTAAGCTGATATCCAGAAACTATTGTGTCCTTTCTTCCCTTGCCAGGCTGAAACACTTTTCCAGCTAATCTGCCCCAACGAAGACTTCTGTCCACCCCCACCAAATCCTGAAGACATTATCACTGATGCAGACAGTTTACAACCGGAGGCTTCTGAATTCAGTGTCATACCAGAAGCTAACTCAGAGACTCCCAAGGAAAGCACAAGCCTGGGAAACCCAGAGGAGGCCTCTCAATAATGGATATACAGCAAATTGAATACCCCACTTTGGAAATCCCTCCTGGCCTCAGGGTCTTCTTCATGGAAGAACTGAAAAATGTTAGAAAATGGCAGCCAGTTGACATACATAATTACCAAGAGGAGCAGGTCATAGAAATCCAAAAGGGGATTTTCCTTAAAGAGGACATTGTAAGAACACAAAACACTTAAAAAGCACATTGGCTTGCCTGCTTCAAGATACCAAACTTGTAGAATTAGCAGATAAATATAAATGGATTGGCTCCCGGGGTATAGTAGCTATGGATATGAAAGTGTACCTATGCATTGTTAATAATTCTGTCATATTCAGAAAGCTTTTTCTTACCGCTTTGGATCTTTGTTTGAAAGCCACATCTTCAAAAACGGGTCACCTATTCCCTATAAAAAATATTTTTTTATTATTTTGATTCTGTTTTCTTTATGGGTATGGGCATCATGACACCAATGATAAAAGCACATGTAAATAGTGGAGGAAAGCTTAAGTATCATGATCTAGGCAGGAGCCTGCTGTGTTTGGAAAAGGTTTTTTTTTTTTTTTTCCTATCTTGAGAATTATTGAAAATGCCAGTATTAAAGTACACATTTTTATAAATCATGAGTCCATTACTCAACATTTTTTAATGTTAGTAGTGATATTTTTAATGTGACTCATTTACACACTAGGAGAGCTTTTTAGGACTGAAGAAATGGAAGGAAAAATTTGGATCTGCTCATTAGTATGCAGAAATTCTGTTTAGTCAGGTAACTAAAGCCTAATTGTATATGGACCCAATTTAATCCTAACTACCCTAATGATATTAGACTAATGGTTTAACTTATATCCCTCACTTTCTCCATATGTAAAGTGGAAACTGTTACACGTTGCCTACTATAGGAGAATAATTTTGAAGATAAAAGCAATGCAATCCTTAGAATGGTATTTCTAAGGGGAAAAAAGTTGTTTTCCCCTTGATTTGGAGGTGAATATCAAAAATCTCATGCAGCAAATAATTGCTTGCTGTCAATCCCTCCAACACAAAAGATCACAATGTTTTTATTGCAACTAAGCTTTTAAAAAAAACCTGTTTCCTAAATTAGTATTTTGTAGTCTTCTAAGACTTATAAGACCAGTAAACATAGTAACATGGAATTGTGGTTTTGAATCTTAAAAAGGAAAGCACGCTATAAATTCTTCATATTCCTTTTCTGCTAGGTAAACCTGAACCACTAAGGACTCTGAATACAATATGACAGTTGGTAAACCCTAATACACTTAACACAAAAATGTTAGGGCTATACATAGCCAGCAAATCTAGTTACAGTGACAGTGACTGTTAAAATTTTTCCAGATGCCAGGTTCTGATGGTTTGCTCTATTTGAGCAATAGTTTGGATTTATTTCAATAATTAAATATATAAAAAGTTTGTTGTGCATTCTGGCCTACATTACCAATCAGAGAGTCATTGCTACAGTAGAAAGCACATAGTTTCAATGAGGCTATGACTTCTCCAGATTTCAGAGACAATCTTAAAGGAAGCTGGCTCTGTCAGGTCATAGATTCATAGAAATTGGAAAGAACCAAGGCAGGTAGCTCTTGCCTCACCTTTCCAATCCCCTATGGATATAACTGAATCCGAATGGAAGGAAAACTTTCCCAGCCTCTTAGGCTGCTCCTAACTCCTCTGCCCATTGTACACCCTATCTCCTACCTCTTTGGCCCTCTCTCTTCCTCTCCTTCCCCCTTTTGTAATGTCCTACAAATCAGGAATAGTAGAATCACATTATAATTCACTTTGTTTTATATATTCAGATCTTTCCTAAATCAAATCATGTTTCCTGAAATTCAACTATGCCATGTGCTAAATGTACAATACATACCTAGAAGCACCAGGTATTGGCCCTATCCCTCAATACAAGCAATATAAAAGGTTCCACTATATGAAAGTACTGAGTCCGAATACAATTGCAGTACGGTGCACCAATTAAGATATTGTACTTTGTTATAGTCTTAAGAGTTAAGGCCTCTTGAATGCAGCATACACATTTGTAAGCAACCAATCAGTGTAGGCCCAGAATAGTAACTAGAAAAGACTATGATAGCTTTACTGCAGCTATTTATATGTAGACAAGGAAGGAAATGCTCTGTGGTCTCATGACTCAACCCATATTGTACTGTAATTTATCCATTAGCCATCATCATCATCTCTCTTCCAGGTTATTTATTAAATACTATTTAAATGTTTAAAAGCTCCTGAATATGATTAGTTGTGATTAAAGTGATTAAAATATTATACAACTGTTAAAAACATTGTGTTAGAGAACTTTAGATATATCCTATTGCCTCAGAATTAATAGAAATTATTCTAAAAGCTTTCTTTCAGCTATCTTAATTACTGCAAATCGTTTTTTTTTCATAGTTTTAAGCCAAAAAAGGAAAAATATTTTGGTTTTGTTTTAAAACAATAAACCTGAAGTTACATGAATAAAGTTAACATGTTGTATATGATACAGAAATTTCAGTAGCTAATTTAAAATTTTTAATATTGTCATCAATAAATTTTGATTCATGTGTTTAAAATGTTTAGTTATACATGCTTATTAGCCAAAAATGATAAAACCATTCAATTTAGTGATCTGTATGAAAACCAGTTCCCCAGTGTTGCTGCTGTGTCTTTATTTATCTAGTTGGTATGCCTGCCCAGAAAAGCAAATAGGTAGGTAGGTAGATACTATAAATGTAGGTATTTTTCTATAGGAAAACTGAGTTACAATTTCCTTATCCCTGATGATATTTAGTTGCCCATAGTAAAATGGCCATGCTAATGATTATAACTTCTGTCATAGCTATAGTTCCCAAGAAAGCAGCCCTTTGTCTAAAGTCCTAAAAACCTCAAAAAATTTTGTTGAAATTTGATCAGAGTAGTATTGATCCTTTAAAGCAGGAATTAAACAGTTTTCTTATAAGTAAGTTATTTACTGCTATTGATACTGAATAATTTATCTTGGTTAATTTTCTTATATGCATTTCAAAGGCATAAATATGATTCATAATTTTCACACTGTAGCAGTAAGTTTTCAGAGGAAATAAAAGTGTTTTGATGCCTTTCAAGTGTGGTTTCCTATTTTTTAATATTAAAACTTTGCATATATGCCAAGAAATTATTGTCTTGGAACTGATTTGTTGATATAACTATTATTTAAACAATTGTCCAGCTGTATACTTGATTTTGTTTCTAAGCATTTGTCAACTGTGTCAGGTTTGTGAGAAAGGCAATCAAATGATACCTGGGTTGATTTACTTAGCAAATTGTTCTAGATGCCAGCATCAGACCTCATTCTATTTGAAATCAGTGTTTGAGGGTTGGGCTATGGCTTTATAGTACATTGATTGACTACAAACTGTTTTCACATTTCACTTAGTATATGAGAATATGAAATGTTTTTCATATTTCTTGCTGAATGAGAACCTGAGATGTTTTTTTCTCTTTGGTGTTTGAGTCCACAATAGCTTACTTGAAATACATAAGAGACTGCTGATGTTCTTTGTATACAAAAATCATTCATTGAACTAGGATTTGCTCTTAGATCAAATAACTAAAACAGAATGACGTTTTCTGTCAATTCCAGGTAATTTCCTAAAGCTTCTCAGAATGCATTCAGAAGATAACATGACTCCTTCAAAACTGACAGTTTATCTGAGATTATTCATAAATCAAATTTAGGAAAAATAAAGTTAATTGAATTTTTAAACAAGTAGCTATATTGTCCTTCAAGCACCTTGGAGCTCATACAGTACTCAACACTTTTTCTGGTGTTGTTTTAAAAAAACAAGCGATTTGGGGCACCTGGGTGGCTCAGTGGGTTAAAGCCTCTGCCTTCGGCTCAGGTCATGATCTCAGGGTCCTGGGGTCGAGCCCCAAGTCGGGCTCTCTGCTCAGCGGGGAGCCTGCTTCCCTTCCTCTCTCTCTGCTTGCCTCTCTGCCTACTTGTGATCTCTGTCTGTCACATGAATAAATAAGATCTTTGAAAAAAAAAGCGATTTGATGCTTGAATTCTTTAATGATGGCTTTTCTAAAATGTTAGGGGCACTTGGTGAGTCTCAGTTGGTTAAGCGGCTGCCTTTGACTCAGGTCATGATCCCAGGTCCTGGAATGGGCCCCACATTTGCCTCTCTGCTCAGCAGGGAGCCTGCTTCTCCCTCTCCCACTGCTGCCCCCCCTACTTGTGCTCTCTCTTTCTGTCAAATAAATAAATAAAATCTTTTAAAAAAATTAAATGGTTTAACACTTAGCATCCCATGTCACATTTTTTTAAAAGATTTTATTTATATTAGAGATAGCATGAATGGAGGAGCAAAGGGAAAGGAATAGATTCTGTGCTGAGCACAGAGCCTGATGCTGGCTGGGCACAATTCCATGACCCTGAGAGCATGACCTGAACCAAAATCAAGACTGACAACCGACTGAGCCACCCAGCACCCCCCACATCACATTTTTTAAGGCCAGTTTTCTTTGCATTAATACAGTTTAGCCGTGGGGCTGAAGTGAAATGCTGTTCCCATACAAGTTGCCGTGTTTGCTTTTTCTGGTGATGATGATTCTTAGGGCCATTTGACATAATCATTAGAATTTGAATCCTAGTAGCCCATAAGAGTCTTTTCACCTATCACCACAGAGGGATTTATGCTGGTAACTCCTATTAATGTTAATGGGACTTGTGTAAATCCTCTTCCTCTCAATGAGACAGTTGACCCCTAAGAGAAATATTCTTTAGATTTGGACACTTGCTGAACTAGAAGCATTAATGAATTGTTCTATTCAGGAATTTCTTGTGTGGGGAAAAAAAATAGACTGTACCAAATTAGCAGAGGATTTGTTTGTAGAGCATGAAAAGATAAAATACTACCTCTTAATTTTCTCTTCCCATTTCTAATAATATCTAATATTTTAATATCTATTAGATACATTTTCATCTTGCTTTGTTGCTTTGGCACCAACCTTTTATTCTAGAAACTAATAAGCAAGAATCAATTATCATTATGTCTTTCCTGTAAAAATTGTATTTCAGGGTATTCAAATAGTTGTTGAAGGAAAGTTCTTATAGAAGAATCACCATTAATAATTACTTGAAGAATGAAAAAAATCACCATTTCGTAAACTCAGTGTAGTAATGGACCTAGGCAATGATTATCAATGGTTGCTAAAACCTTTAGTTGAAAGTTTGATGCAGACATCACGTGAACCCAGTGATCTTAAAAATCACTATAAGGAGAAAATAAGATGCTATAAGCCTCCTGATGCATTGTAATAGGAAGTACACAACACTAACTGGGAAGAATTCTTGCTAAAATAGAAATTAAAATAGAAATTAAAAACAATCTGAATATAATCAAGCCTCTAGATCTAACTACCAATTTATAGACATTAGGGGGATAGAAGAGCTTATTCAATGACACCATGAAAATACAATGTAAAAAGTTCTACTACTGGGTATTTACCCCAAAGATGTAGTGAAAAGAAGGGCCATCTGTACCCCAATGTTTATAGCAGCAATGGCCATGGTTGCCAACCTGTGGAAAGAACCAAGATGCCCTTCAACGGACGAATGGATAAGGAAGATGTGGTCCATATACACTATGGAGTATTATGCCTCCATCAGAAAGGATGAATACCCAACTTTTGTAGCAACATGGACGGGACTGGAAGAGATGATGCTGAGTGAAATAAGTCAAGCAGAGAGAGTCAATTATCATATGGTTTCACTTATTTGTGGAGCATAACAAATAGCATGGAGGACATGGGGAGTTAGGAGAAGGGAGTTGGGGGAAATTGGAAGGGGAGGTGAACAATGAGAGACTATGGACTCTGAAAAACAATCTGAAGGGTTTGAAGAGGTTGGGGGGGTGGGAGGTTGGGGGAACCAGGTGGTGGGTATTAGAGAGGGCATGGATTGCATGGAGCACTGGGTGTGGTACAAAAACAATGAATACTGTTATGCTGAAAATAAATTTAAAAAAATGATTATAAAAAAAAAAGTTCTACTGGACAAATAACCTGACTTTATCAGCAAATAACTTGCACAGAAAAAAATGAAGGGAGCACTGTTACAGATTAAAGGAGACTTCAGAGGTGTACCAAACCAAGTGCAACATGCTGACCTTGTTTGGACATTGTTTTGAATAAATGAAACCTTCAGAAAAAGCAAAACAAACAAAAAAACGAACCATTTTGAGGCAATCAGGGGTTGAATATTTCCTGGGTGTTAGTTGACATCAAGGAATTAATTTTTACTACTGGGTGTGGTAATGTTAATTTTTCAAAAAGCATGATCTGTTAGAGATTTTTAAAAAAATAGGTGAAGCAAATACATATAAGAAAATGTTAATGATTAAATCTAAGTTTTGCTACATGGGATTTTTTTTTCTGATTTTGTATTTTTGTGTTTAAAACTTTTCATAGCAAAATTTTTAAATGATAAATAAAAGTCTATTGATTAATATAATAATAAATTATAGGTAGTATCTAACTTTACAACACAACTACTTTTGTATTTCTGCAAAGAAGGACTTATATGTTCAGTCCTGTCCTGTAAATTTTGTTTTGTAATGTTTTGAAACCATGGGGTATAAAAACAACATATTTGAATTTATTACCTTGGGTCAATGGCTTCTAGGGCCAGAGAGAATTTTGCCAAGCAGCTTCTTTGGTACAAGGGCAAATTTAGGAAAAATAAGCATGTTTACAGAGTCTGTGTCAAATTGAAAATGAAAATAGCATTACTGAGTCACATGGAGTGGGAAAATTTATATTCTTGCAACTTTCACAGCCTGTGTTTTGTGCTTTGTTGATTAAAGGTCAATGATAAAATTTTAATGCTTTTTAACCTCTAAAATATTTCTATCTGATGTTTTCATATGTTGCAACATGTAGACTGCTACTAATTTCCAACATGAAACCTCTCTGGTGCCTGTACACATTTGGGCTTGTGACCACTACTCTATGTCAATCTGTTGAATATAATCATTTTTTTAGAAACGAAACTGAATATATACATATTTTAAAATAGAATATGTCCCAATTATCCACATCAAAAATTCAATCTTATTTCCTATATTAACAATATAATTCAACTGTTAGCACTGTTGCTCTCAACAATTGTTGCTGACAGGGTAATAGATCCCCCATTCTTCTTAAAGGGCTGCTACTGATTGGAGATCAGTTATTTTTATCCAGTTAGAGTTACCAGTGGAACAAGTTAGTAAGTCAATTGAAATGTGAACAGATTTTTTATTTTAATTTTTAAAATTTGAGTATAGTTAATGTTAACATTAGTTTCAGGTGTACAACATAGTAATTCAACATCTCTATAGGTTATGCTATGCTCACCGCAAGTGTAGCTACCATCTGAAATGTAATCAATTTTTTAAAATTGAAGTATTGATACGGTAGTATAAAAAGATCTATTTATCTTGCTCACATACAGGTAAAATTACAACTCGTCACTCCTCAATCCCCACATTCACTCAGCAGGGCACATAATCTTAGAAATATCTTCCTGATCACAGCTTCCTCTATTTTCACAACCCACTGTTCTCATTTTCTATCATATTGTTACAGTTGGTCTTCTTGACACAAAGTTCCCCATTCTACTCTCATTACCTGTTGAGGCAGAAACCACTGCATGGATTCCTTCTCAGGCTTACACATGGTGAATTGGAGTTTTTAAGCATAATAACACACCAAAGTTAAGTAAGAGTGAAGCTCTTGAGTGTGCAACCTTAACCTGCACCAAATATGGCTGTGAAAGGGTGTAGCTTGGGACTATGAGGTCCAGGTAGAAAGTAGAAAAGGAAATGAAGGGTGACACTTACAGTGCCTACTTTGTAGCAGGCACTATTCTATTAACACTTTTAATCTCAAAATAACATGTAAGTACTGATCATTCTCTATTTTACAGATGAGATCTTGATGATGAAACTGAAGGGCAGATATAAAATGATTTGTCCAAGGGCACATAGTTAGAAAGATTTGGATTGCTCCTCTGGATTCTTCATGCACTGAAATGGGTTTGTGATCTAGTAACAAGATTATACTCTTTCTCATCTTAATGAGCTTATCTATCTGCCCTTCTAGTGACAGTTTCACTTAAATACAAATAATAGCCCTGATCATATCACTTCTCTCCCTAAAAAAACTTTTCCATACTAATTACAATCTGACTTCTTTAGCATTGCATATGAGAACACTCTCCCCCTCAAAAAAAATTATATTTCTGTTTGCCTTCATCTTCTGTTCATTCTACCTCTCCTCCTCACACTTTACTCTTCAGCCACAATGAACTCCTCAGGATCTTCAAACTCTTTGGCCCATTGCATGTATCATTTCTGGAATGCCATAACCTTTCTCTGTTACCGCTACACCCCTTTTCTTCTAGTTAACTTTCTATTCTGCCTTTAAAACCCAGGTTTAATGTTATTTCAATTGCCAACACTTTGGTAACCTCCCTTGGCAAACTACTTTTCCCTCTGTGCTCCCTGCAGTACTGTTCATGAAGCCTTTATCTCACTGAATTCCAAGTTTCCTGATTTTATTTCTGTCTCCTAGATAGTGAAAAATTTGAAGGTAGAGACCCTGCTATTCATCCATGTATCTCCAGTACCTAAACAACCCTTGGCTCATAGCTATGCATGTCCTGTGTAACCCTGCTCCTCTGGCCATACTAGTTTCAATCTGGGGTGGAAACAGGCCCCTGAAGCACTTTGGAATTGAAATCCATCAAGAGTTTGATATTTTGAGTGGCTGGCCCATAAAACAAAATTCACTTTAGCTATCAGCAGCTATATCTTTTATCAGGTGGCCAAGGGAGCAAAGTCAGTTTGCAAAGAAAGAAGCATTGGTGAGATGCTGAATTGCCAGGTGAACTTAATATTGGTTTCTGTGACTTTTCTAATTCCAAGATCCAGTCCTCTCAAAGGACCAGTATCAATGCTGCTCTTCAGTTTTTTGAGACACTCCTGACTCCTCATAATAATATTTCCTTTGATGTTCAGGAAACGTGTATTGGTTTGATACTGGCAAACACCACATTTTAGCTAAATAAATATGTTTGGAAAGCTGATAGAGTAGTATGAGGACCCTAGGCTTGCCTCGTCCTTCAAACAGCTACATAATTATCAAATCATCCTGAATACCCAAGAAATCTGAGGGCTGACAGAATAAAATTCACAGCTAGAGGGAGAGAAGAGGCCACATTGTGGAAGGTAGGAGGTGCAGAGATGTGACTTGGAGAAGAAAGGATTGCAGGTGCTGCAGAGGGGAGAGAGCCCTGGTCATGGAGACGAGAGAGAGAGGAACACACAGGGGTTTTAACAAGGAAAACACTTCTATAAAGACATTGACTGGGAAAATGGGAGGGACTGATTTTTGTGAGTTTTTACAACCAGCGGGGCTCTAACACTTGGAGTTTTGGAGGTCCATGCCCTGGCTGGTGTGGAGCCTGGTGGGGGCTACAGTGCTCCTAGGGAGAAGGAGGGCAGATAGGCCAGTAGTGGATGTTATGGTCTGAAGATCCCTTGGGACACACTGGAGACATGGTTGACCCTCTTTGGAGAGCATCTGGGAGAGGTGGCATTGCCTCTCCAAGGACAAAAGAGCCTGTGGGCACCATTACCCTCCCATTCCCTCACATAGTGCATAGGTGCAGAGAAACCTGCTGAGAGCAGCTAACCTGTATACTAGCTCTTTGCTGCACTTTACTCCAAAGTCCACCACCTTGTGCTTTGGTGCAGCTGCCCTTCTGGGACAAAATTGCATCAGTCCCAGCCTACTGAGACCCTACCCCAGAGGATCAGTGCAGGTCCCTACCACACCATGTCCCTAAAGTTGATGTTTTAAAACTCAGCCAACCTACCTGGGATAGAACACAGGTGCACAGGGGCTGCTGGGTGGGCAGATGGCCTGGACACAGGGTGAAGGCAGAGATCTAAGGGATGCTCGGGATACATGAGGAGAGATTGTTGCTCTTTTGGGAGGTCTTCCCAGACAGGGATGTGCAGGAACTCCCTTCTCATCAACAATGGCGCCATTTCTCTCCCCAATCCATCCGCATAAACTAACTTCAGAAAGTGGCACAGTGCCAATAGCGACAGCCTCAACTGCTTACAAAAGCCCTGCCCCCTTGCACTCTGTGGGTGCTACTTTTCTAAGTCAAACATGCTTGAGAACCAGAGCAGTGGGCCCCTCCAGAAAACCAGCATGAAACCCCCTCACATGCTATGTATACTAACCACAGAGTTCTTCAAAACTTCAGCTCTCATGTAAATAGGACCACATCTCTTAAGCAGGCAGAGCATGCTTAGTTAAAACTCAGCACACTCTTGCCAAAGTCCAAACACTCCCTATTGCAGGCAAGGAGAAACTCTGCAGAGTACTGACCTAAGGGAAGCAGCAGTCCAAACACAGCACCAGAGTACACACAGCATATACCAGAAACACTTCCTGAAGCACTGGACCCTGGACAGTATATGAAATTTTCTTAATAAAGCCATTACTCTCAGGGGCACAAACCATAACAGACTGTCCTAACACAGAGAAGACAGAGACCTTTACAAAACACCAAGATGGAGGAATACATCCCAAAGAAAGAACAAGAAAAGGCCATGGCAAGATATCTAATCAAAACAGATATAAACAATATACCTGATTGAGAAGATAAAGCACGCTCATAAGGATACTAACTGGGCTTTAGAAAAGCATAGAAGACATAGAAAGCACCAGGGAGTCCCTTACCATGGAGATAAAAGACCAAAAAATTAGCCAGGCAGAAATAAAAACTGCTAGAGCTCAGATGGAAAATTGACAGGATGTAATGACCACAAGTATAGAAGTATCAGAGGAATGAATAAGTGATACTGAAGATAAAATTATGGAAAATAATAAAGTTGAAAAGAAGAGGAAAAGAAAAATATTGGATGACAAATGTAGATTTAGGGAACTCAGAAAATCCATAAAGTGTAATAACATTCATATCATAGGAGTTGCAGAGAAGAGAGAGAGAAAGGGACCAAAGGTTTATTTGAGGAAATTCTAGCTGAAAACTTCCCTGATCTGGGGAACAAAACAGGCATCCAAATCTAGGAGACACAGAGAACTCCCATCAAAACCACAACAGCAGCCAATACCAAGACATATCACAGTTAAATTTGAAA